CAGGGAAAACTAAGTTTTTCTATATAGACTGAGTAGTTAAAAGTTTAATTAGCATTATCGGTTTAATTACGCACTACAATACCTACCAAAACAAATTAAAAACCAACTAGCCTACAGCAGCATATATTGGGAGCTGTGCTGCACATGGTCTACCTAGTACATTACTGCAGCACACTAGGAAGATTTCTGCTGAGGAAGTAATAAATTCACATGAAGTCACTCTATAAACTCCATTTGCTTTAGTTTTTCTCTGTTTTATATAACTATGCTGTCATTTGTCCTTCCCTTCTGTCTGTTGATTTGCTTTTAAGCAGCAAGAATGGATAGTTACTGTGGCTGCAGTCAATTTTTTGTTTAGACAACCAGAACTGATTTTTATGCTGTATTCCCCAAACGATTTCTCTACTCCAGATGGTCCTCATTCACCTGCAACATCCTCCTGTGCATCCTTCCATTGCAAAGGAAGCTCCTTGCCAGCCAGGGAGTCCCATGCAACAACTCTCCACACACACCCATAAAATTTCACTGTTCCTTGGTGCTGCTGTTCCCTCCCAGGGGGAACTATCACAGCCCAGCAGCTTCACAGCAAAGAATGCTATTTAAGCATACTCAGCAGATCATCCAGTGTTGCAGAGAGTTAGTAAATACAAGTGTGTAACTTTCCACTCTATAGTATTTAAAATGAAAATGAGTTTGTGTCTCCTTGTTTTTTGTATATATACAATTTGTATTCTGGCTAAAAAAGAATGTTGTAAAGCTTAAGAAACTTTGTCTTCAGAGGTTAATTTACAGAGACACAAACACATCTCTTTGTTTTAGATAAAAAGGTTCCTTTGGCAAATTTATTTTCCAGAACAAGATGGACTTTGATAAACTAAAGCCAGTCCAGTGGAAAGGCCCAAGATAACTACAGGGTCACAGCATGTGGCATTGCAAGAAGATGCCAAGGCATGTGTGGACTTGAGAAGCCAAACAGGAAAATTTTGTTGCTGTCTTCAACTATCTAACATGAGAGTACAAGAGAAGATGGAGACATTGTTCTTGAAGATGCACAGAGAAAGGACAAGTGGCAACAGACACAAGCTCCACCTGGGAAATTTGAACTGTGTATTGAAAAAAAAAAAGTGCAATCATAGTAGTCTAACATTAGAACAGAACCTAGAGAGGTGAAGGATCTCCAGCCTTGAACAAGGCCCTAAGCCCCTCCTGTCCTGAGCAGGGGAGTTGGACTAAGCAACCTCTCCAGAGTTCCCTTCCAACAAAAACAAAACTTTGTTCTAAAACCCACTGGGAGGTAATTTTAATTACAGCCATCAAATTATATACACAATAATGTGTATTTTACATATACCAAGAAAAATAAAACCATACTGCATTTCAAAATTCATTTACTGCAATGACAGAGGCAAAGAGTCAGTAGTAAGGTTAGGTCACTAATATTAAAGCCACAATGTCTTTGTAAGTTGAAGCCAGAGGAAAGCTACAGGAGCTCAGTATCCAGAGACATGAATTCCAAGGATTTCACACTACCCAACTTATCTCCACTTTGTTACATGGAGTTTAGACTGGAGGTCTGGATCTAGATTATTCTCTACACCCATAAGCTTCAGGTGCCTATTTACATTAAGTGTTTTGAGACATTAAACTGCAAGATCAAGGTAAGTATTTCAGTTCTCACAACTGAATTTTAGTCTCACTACAATTTCCTTAATTACCAGACCAAAATGTTATTTTAAATTGTTCTGCATTTCAGGATATGTGAACACTGAACTAGCTGTAACAAACTTCTAACATTTTCAAAGTCAAAGATTCATTTTCACTTATAAAAAAAAGCCACAATAAAACTCTCAACAGAGGCTTAGAAAGGTCTTTATAAAATAATCTCCATAACACTTACAATAGTAAGAAAATTATTCTGGTTGCTAGTTTTTAGTAAATATGAACTGGTTTGTGTAATCTGTATTAAAGATGGTTATAACTACAGTTCACATTTTATTTTTTTAAAGGTGGACCAACAAATGTGTCAAGAAAAGCAGATTATTGCTGTTTCTCAACAAGTCTTTTTTTAATAAGGACATGCTGCCTTGGTAGGCAAAGCATGTCTGACAGCCAGTTGAGACAGGAGAGCTGAAGGACAGAAGTAATGATTTACATGCCAAAAAAACTTCTTCAGCAATCACCTTACACTTGGCAACTGTGCAATTAAACTGATTTAAGATCAAAACTGTGCATTCCATCCATCTCTTGAATGACAGTGCTGATCATCTCAAAATTTAAGTTTGCTTGAAGTGACGCAAGAAAGTAGAATCTGAGCAGGTTCTGGACTGGCAGAAAAAAGAAGTCTGATGCTTATCCTGTCATCTGCAGCTATGAAAATAGCAGATGTTCTTCAAAGGGTTTCTCATCAGGTCTGTCAGGGCAACAGGTATAGCTGTGCAGAGAAAACAGAACATGAACACATTGGAAATATTAAATGTATCCAGTTTTCTATTCCTGCAGTAGTACTACTAAAATTAAGTATGCAAACATTCAATTTCAAAAGGACTCAAAAGGATCTAAAAATCCACACACATTTCTAATCAAAGTTTTGAGACAAGCTCCTGAAATATACTTTCTGTGGACAGAGAGTGGCAGTTACAATCACCAACAGAAAAGTTCACAACTGCTCAGAGATGTCATTCACTATACATGTTTTCTCACTCATACAAAACAGAAGCAGAACTCAAGAGGTTTGCACTACTTTATTTGTGAGCAGAACCAAACAACTCCCATAGAAAGAAAACAATCAGCTAATTCAGACCAGATGTACAATCAAACATCCAGCTCCTCCCTCAGCCTACCTCTGCCACTTTTTTATCTGCTCCCAAATTACCACCGTCCCGAGAAGTTAAAGGGACCTGCACAGGCCAACAGCACCACGAAGATCAACACTCCTGAAAAGAG